ATCTTTCGAGGTCCTAGTCGTGAAAAATATCGAATACATAACATTTATTTAAGAAATTCCAAATATTCATTGAGTAATAACAATTTTGGATGTTTTAAGTTGTTCAGTTCATACTATAAATTCGACCAGAAAATCTTTTCTTCGTTCTATTTGTATTGGAGATCCAGCTGTTAAAGATATTCAAAGTGGAGGAATAAACCTATTTACTGCGTCAAATAGTGTGTTGCTTACAAAATCTGTTAACGAATATTAATGCAGCACAAAACAAAGCTTATGTTTTATTCGTACAGTAACTTGTAATAAAGAATCCAAAATTATAATTGATCAGGTACTGTACAACAGGGACACGGAAATTTTTAGATCAAACTAAATCACAAATCATGTAATTTTACATCACTCATATTACGTTTCATAGTAAAAACATTGTTAGCGTTTAGTAGTACTATATATTAAAGTGCAAATTAAATTAAGCGTTAGTGTTAGTAGTATATTAAATGCAAAATAAATTATTTTTAATAATATGTTAAGTACTATGATTTACTTCAATAGTTTATAAGTTCATTTTTTTTTAAAAAAAAGAAAAAAAATTCAAAAAAAAAGTACCGCTTAGCGAAACGATTTTTTAAAAAAATTGAAAATTTATATTTTTTTTTACGAGATAAAATTTTGACGTATTTTTTTTTTTGGAGGGGGGCTTCTATTTTTAATCATCAATAAAACGAATATATTATAATATATCATCAATAAAACAAATATTTTATACATATTGCATGAATAATTTTCAAATTTATATCGCATAATTTCCGTGTCCCTGTTATACAATCACTATGCTAAAGAAAAGATGCAATCATTTCGATCAATTATATTCACTATCTATACTTTGTCAAAGGAGTTGATTGTTACTAGAAATGATTTAACTGGGTTAATTTCCTCAATGTAATTTGTTAATGAACGGGTTGTTGTTCATTTAGTAATAATTTCTCTGAAAAGTTCTAAGTTAGCTTTAAAATAGCTTAACCACCAAAAAAAAACTCGAACACGTGATGACGACCAATAATTAATCATAATTTGGTATAATGTATAGGGATGTTATGGTCTGGTCTGGTCTAAAAGACCAGGTCTATGTAACAGATCACAATTGGTCTGGTCTATATTCAACTAATAGAAATTCAGAATTGAGATAATAAACTACTTTTACTAAAGTGCTTTGGGTATTTTACAAGAAAAAAATTTACTATATTATATATTTTAATTGATTTTATCTAGATAGTTTAAATAAATAATATATCTAAGTATTTTATAATATGAAATTTGAATATTTGTAGCAAAATACTTGAGATGTTTCAAAATTTTAAGAGATTATATTATTGTAAAATTAATTCTCTTTAGTATATAACTTATAAATTTTTATAATTAATTTATATTATTAACTAGTATTTAATCATATAGCTTTTTTTTTTTTCTTATAAAAAAAATTTTTTTATTTTTTTATAATTTAGAATTAGTCCTTACTATATAGATTATAATAACATATAATATACAGCTACAAACAACTTTTTTTACAAATCAATTTGTAACAAAATCTAGAGATCAATTTGAATGTTAATTAAAAATAAGCTAAAATTAGTAAGTATTACAACAAATTCTATTTGTAATCATATTAGTTTTCTTGAACTAAAATCTATTTGACAAAACTAATTAGCATATCAATTCACAAAGCTAATAATCTGTTTAAATAAAAAAAGAATATTAGATATAACTATAAGATTAAGATTAAAAGAAAACTAGTTTTAAAGCAAAAGTTTAATATATTCTACAAGCAAAAGCTACAAATTTAATAAAAGTATATTTAAATATAACTTAATATTAAAAGTATTTTATAAATCTATTAAAATAGATTTTCAATTAACAAACTTATAAAAGATATAAATAAATTAAATAAAATAGGAACAAAAATCTATAGTTTGCTAAAGAAGAAAAAAATATTTTTTTTTGTTACTATAGACAGAATAAATCTTTTCAATTTAGAACAACTAATAGATAACTTAGGAAATTATATATTAACCTAATAGCAAATCAAATATATAAAATTATTTAAAAAGAAAAAATATATACTGAGTTAGTTCTTAAAACTTGAAAAGAAAGTACTTAAAGAAAATAAAAGTAAAAAAGTACAGAATATATTTAAAATCAAAAATATAAACAAGAAAAATAATAAAAATTATGTCAAAAAGAATTTTATAAAATCAAAAGAAAAAAGAATAGTTTTTTTGCAAAATAACTAATGAACTATAACTAAAAAAGTTATAAGAAAAGTAAAACAAATTATAATAACAAAATATTAGAAAAAGAATCAGAATAAAGATTTGAAAATAAAACTTTTATCAGATGCAAAAAGTATAACAGAGAAAGTTTTAATAATAGCATTTATTTAATTAATATAAAATTTAACAAATAGCATCAAATAATAGATATAACTAAAAAAGAAGAGATTACAAAATTAAATATATCTATTTTAATATATATAGAAAAGAGAGACTTAGTATTTGATTTCAGAACTAAACAAAATGTTAGAGTAAAAATCATTACAAATACTCTTAAAAATGCAATTATACAAGAAAATATAAAAAATAATAAAATTAAAAAAGATCTAGTAGTAAGCTAAAAGAAAAGAAATTAGTATAAATTTATATAGATAGGCTAATAGTTACTAATAAAAAAGAAAAAAATAAAATAAGAATTAGCTGAATAGCTAAAACAAAAAATAGATTAGATAGTAAGTAGTAATATTAAAAACTAGCTCTTCACTTGTACTAAAATTTTTTAACAAAAATTTTTTAAAAAATATAATAAACTTTGTAAAAATATAAGAGTTAATAAAACAGAAAAGTATAAGATAGTACTTGTTATTTAAAAATAGTTCTTATATACTATTTGCTAATAAGTTTAGAGTTTATTATATTAAAATAATATTTATTATTTAGAAATAGTTTTTATATACTATTTACTAATAAGCTTAGAGTTTATTATTTATCTATTATAAATAAATACTAGCTATATTCTAAGTAGATATAAGTAGATAATAGATTTTAGAAAAATATATACTCTTTTACTATAAAACAAATAGTTTTTTTCTTTACTTTTTTCTTTTTGCTATTTTTATAAAATTTCTTAAAAAGTAAAGATTAAAGCTTATTCTTTTCAAAAGATCAGTATATATATCTTGATAAATTTAAAAATAGATCTATGGGTCTGGCGATCTTAGTGTAGTGGTTAGGTTGCCGGACCGCCATGCAAGAGGTCTAGGGTTCAAATCCCACTGTATA